TATCAAAAACGCTCCAAAAGTAACTTTTCCTAATACCGATGACACTGGTAAGGCAGGTACGGGATCGGAGTACCTTCTTATGCATCCATATCAAAAATTAGATGGAAATATCTTCAAGAAACGACAAAATATACGAAATTTGTCGGAGCGTTGTTCTGCCGTCCACCACAGGTACGCGTGACTGGAAGTATGTTTATTTTATTACACTTAAAATATTTTCGTAGTGTTTCATTGTAACAAACAAAAGCTGACCACGTGTGGAAAGTTAACATACAGTGTGGCACTGCATTGTGATGGAGAAGCACAAAGTCAAAAGCCTTTAACGTCAAACTGTCGCACTCCTTAGTATAGAACAAGAACCTCGAAATGACAGAAGGTGATAATCAACATGTGGTTTGTATTCATGTTNCACGAAAAACCATTTTTTTTTCTACGTGGCCCTAATGCTCTTCCGTACTACCATGATACTAGGTATAATATAAATGATGTTTTTATTGTTGAAGATAACTTAACATCTCTAATAGTTTATGCTAGAATAATGGCAAAAAGGCAACGTATAAAACTCGAGTAAATAATAAATACGATACAGTATGTTGTGGTCAAATTTATACATTAGGATATTAATCAGCCTGAACAGCGTCCTCAAGAATTCTGTAGTCTTTGCTCAAGAAGATGTTGACACTGGCGTCCATATCAAAGGATTTTGTTTATTCGTACCGATTATCAAATTTTTTGAAAGTTTTGAAACAGCAAAGTGATAAAAAAATCTCGGTGAAATACTAAATGAGCAAATCAAGAAGTAAAACACAATTTCTTCAGCTTGTTGGCAAAGCAATATATTATTCCGTCTTGTATAAGGGATTTTGGAGTGATTTTTGAAGATAAAATTATAAAGAAATAATCAACAAATGTGTTGTATCAAGAGGGAATATGTAACGTGTTAATGAAAATGCCGAAAAAATCATTAACGAAAGCAGCCGATAGCTATGTTGTGCCAATACGTCCAAGACAAGTTAAAACGAAGAAAGCTTTCGGGAGAGCGTTGCACGTGCGTGTTTTGTTTGAACAAAAATACACGCACGTGCATGTCTTATTACACAATAATATGTGTCGTTACATCGTCTATGTGGTGGAACTTGTTATAGAAAAATCGGGACACAAGAAACATTTACTCCTTTATAAACAATATATAAAATATTATTTATGATGAAATGTATTCCCAGTAAGATATATTTTACTGCCAATGTATGTGTACATTATACAATTATTGTTACAGGGGGGAAATGCGAGGTGATAAAAATATGTGTCTATTTATACGTATGAAGTGCAAATCCTGTGGATGGGCGACGTGGATTATTGTGGATTGGTACCCCTCACTGTAAAGGGGAACTAACTCTTACAACACAGTTCGCTGAAATGTAACATGCTCACTGTTAACATAGCAAACTAATGATTTAGCGTCTTGAAGATAAAACTATTCTTTGCTTATTTTTCCATCACTGAGTCCATACAGAGCTTTTAAACAGGATTATTCATACATAATACACAATAAACATAGGCTTAGCTCAATAATCAGGAACGGTTAACAATCAAGAGCTTCTTCGATTGATCTCAATAGTATTGGCGATAACTTGCTCAATGGGGTAAAGCTAGGTTTCTCCCGAGTACAGAGTGATATTCATCAGGTGAGGTCCCATTTACAGCAATATAAATAATACGGATTGCTGTGCTTGTATTTAAACCCTGTTGCCAATGGCTCCAATAAAACGGATTGTGTTTGAGTGACGATCTAATTATAAAAAAAGATATGTACAGTACCATGGCTCAAATATTGGGCGAGAGTGGAAGAAACTGGCGATCGATACTCGTCAGCTATTGGCTCGTGTTTCCTCGTGGTTCAGTCCTAACAAAGATTTACCGCTGGCTGTGTAGGTATAACAAGAGCAAAAAATTGAAGTAATTATGATTGAGTGAGATAAATGACGGCAAATTATATACTGTAAACATCCTGGCATTAGTGAGTGCCTATTTTAGCGGTCAATGAATGAAGCATGAATTCTGTGCTCAAACCTACTTTCTTGCAGCTCTCTTAAAATCATGTTATACGGTAAAAAAAGTCAGGTTGAAATATCGAAAATGGTATTCAGTCCTTAGACTCTCCCAAATTCTTCCAGATCATTGACAAAATGTAATGTATCCTTAATTTATCACTGGAATAAGAATTTTTTCTCGAGCCCTAAATCTTTTTTGAGCATGAGAACGTTTTTAAGAATACGCGCCCCGATCTACTAACACATTTATAAATTTACGCACAGACCGTTTTCTAGGGAGTATACAGTTAGGAAAACACGAATTTCTGTTCTTCGAGTTATTTTCATGAGTAAGTGGGTCAGCTCATGTAAAAGCTGACAAAAAAGAAAACCAATGATATGGGTACTTTAGTAGACTGGCCACCGTCTCTAGAATATTGAATTATTAAGAAAAAAGTGCAACTCAAAATGTTTTGATCACTTGGATGTCTGATTCTAAAGCCTAAGTTCTAAACTAGGGGGAGATACGCTAGTAGTAAAATGCAGCTGAGAAATTCTTTGTAAAAACTTAGGGGATGGTAGCCAGTCTAGTACTTTAGCAGTAATATTGATATCCATCTTCCTTCTTCTAGTATACATCTCCAAATCTTCTAGCTCGATACTATTTAAATGGCTTTGTTATGTCTTCATGAGTAGCTATTTATAGAGTATAAGAACACTGAAATAAAGATTGAAACATTGAAAAGATAGGTCAAGTTGAAAGCAATGGTTTTTGTTATTTTTTTGGAGACTAAATATCAGTAGATGACATAGCGATAACTACAATCATTGATCGGTATACGTTTCCGTGAGATTTGATGACTGATTGGAGAATTTCTTTTGTTTTCCATTTGGCGTCATCTAGATGAAGAGATCATGACCAAAACAATCTTTGTAAATGTTCCGTAGTTTCTGATATCTAGCAGTCATACATTTCTTCATATTTTTGCTGCATTGTATGTCAATTTAAATTTCACGGCAGATATATTTTTGAATGCCATCATCGCACTTAAATATTTCAATATGCAGGTCTCTTAACAGATCCACTGTGTTTGCTTATGTATATGAGTTTCTTAAATCAGGTTGATCCCAAAGGTAAACAGAAATTTAGGAGTAATATTTCGGGGAATTTATATATTAGATGCAATTTTGTCAACAGTTTTGGATAAAATTTACATCATTTACATCCATTGACCTTTTCTCAAAGACCTTTTTTGAACCTTAAATATCAGTTCCCGCTTAGTTTTTGAATATTTCTCTATGCAAGAGATATGAAGCATTACGGTTATTTTTGCAATATAAATGACGTCATGAATTTCTATACATAACACAATTAGTTTTTTTAAGATAAATGCTTAGATAATTAGTAGAGGAACTTAATTCGGGATAGTAATATGTTGCTGCATTTCGTCGAACAAACTATCGCTTGACCAGCTATTGATGCGACTCATTCGACTAAATCAGTAGGGAAAGATATGATTGTGGATGCAAATATTAATTATCGTGTCAAAGTTGCCAACTCTTTATTTGACGATAGACCCAGCCAACAAAGAGACACCAGTTAGCTTATAACCTATTGGATTGGGATATTGATGTTTATCAAAATGTAAAAGATATTGCTCCATAAAACTATGCTGTTTGTACGTGAATGCTTAATACCTGTCTACAATATATTTCAACGAGAAATGCATAAAAAACAATAGTTAAATCTTCATAATATAAATAATATGTAAATAATTGTAAAATAGTACAAAACGGATATGGATATATACCATGACATATTTCATGTTACCAAGTGAAAAAACGCTGTAAAACTTTTAATAG